AGCAGATTTGAGCGTCTTTGGTTTTGAGGTCCAGCGCGTGTTTGGAGCAAAGAGGTTGTAGGGTCTAATGTAGGCATCAGCGCACTGGCGTGAGAGTTGCATAGCGAGAAGTTGCACAGGACTTGCAGGGAGTCTAGACAGGGTTCTCCGGTGCATAAACAGAAGCATTTTTAAAGTCTCTGCATCCTCGAGCCGACCGCTTGCAGCCTAAACTCTCAAACTAGCAAGCTCCAAAAAATCTCTTCACACCGACGCTCTTTAGCTCCAAACTCTCGGGGCAAAGACTCCCAGCGCCAAATTCTTTTCTGTCGGGCGTCGACATCTTATCACCCAGGCCCATGATGCCCTTGATGCCTTGGAGAGAATGAGCGGACAGGATGTAGGAATGTTTGGGTTTAGGATTATGGTTACAGCTCTGCGTTTGGTGTTCGGGCTTCAAGGGCTGGAGGCGGGAGAGTCAGGCCTGCAAAGCCCCAACTGTGTACCAAAGCCAGAGGATGAGCATTTTCTGCAAGCCAACTTGCAGCTACATCTCACAGAAGTTTCATGTTCGGGGAAGCTTTCTTCCTTCTTCCTGATCTTTTCCTTCTGCCTCCAGCGCTTACTTCTGAAAGTGTGCGGTAGCACTTTCCACATTCACTAATCAGGATAAGGTAAGATGGGCCATGCTGGAGCATGCGACCCCGACACTACCTCAGCCACGCGCTCAGGAAGAACTCCTTCGTCGCACACCCCGAAGTAAAGCTGCTGTGAGCATTAATCCTTCAAGCAGCTCTGCAACTCCAGAACCCAAGGCCACTTGGAAGGGTGTCAGAGCCCCACCAGTTGGATGCATGCCGACCATCAGAGGAGCTCCGCCCCTCTCAACCTTTCCCCAAACCTGTGATTCCAAATCCGCAGGCCAAATATGCTTGGCCTGAAGTTTATGCCTTGTGTCAAAGAAGAGTTCCCTCTCAGGCTGAACCAATCACACGTCATAAGCAATTCCTCACACGGTTACATCATGTTCTTGTGATATGAACAGGACGAATCCAGACATGCAGCCTAAGTCCAAACCCATAGACCGGAACAACTGCTCTGGGCACCTTTTTTGCCTGAAAATTGCGGCGCCTCTGGCACGAAAATATAACGTGAAAACTGTGGACTGAGGCGGACACAGCCCAAAGTCTAGATTCAAGATCTTGGCAGTCATGAGTTACAGGCCGTGCTCTACCAAGCTTAGGCTGTAAACCTTGTCAGCTCGGAGTATAACCAGTATTTCCGTGAGTCTCTGGCTGCGCCATGTGAAGAGTCAATTCCTGGGGTCAGACACGTTCAGCTTTAGATGCAACACACCAATGCCTAGCTGATCATGACAAAGAGGTGTACTCTGTCGACCCTTGTCCAGCTGCTGTAAAGTACCTTTCCTCCCCCTGGTGAGTTCAAAATGGCTCACACGGGTTCACAATCGCGGCCGCAACTTGGCAATTGCCAGGCCGACAAAAACACCTTGGTGAGCTGCTGCCACGAGGAGAAGGGAATGATGTGGAGCTGAGATGGTCAGGGAGGAAGCAAAAAGCCAAGGCTTTCATTCCTTGCGGCTTTTTGCTCAATCGGAGTTTGGACAGAGCGAGTTGTCTGTTTCGGCGGGAAGTCTTTCCGAGTTGGGCTGGCTATACCTGCCTTTCAGCTAGTGATGTTTTTGGTCATGGAGTGTACTGCTTCGATCCTGGATACGTCGCTGGTAAAAGCATTTTGGATTCCTACGCCTAACACTTGATATGCACCCTCATGCTTGGAACCCAAACTGTGAGTGCAACAAAAGCGAAAGTTGAACGAGGCTGTGTTGAAATGTTACCTTGCGAGACAGCGATCTACACACCCCAAACCAGAAGACTCAGTTCTCGAACTCCTTGGACCCTGAACCCTAGATCTAAAAGTCTAAAAGCTGGAATGGAATGTGCATGATCAGGCATGCTAGATTCCAAGACTTGAACTGCAAACGCAGGGCGTGCTCAGACCGACCAATCCTTGAGCCCCCCCGAAACCTGTATTTTCAACCAAATGAAGTTGAGAGAAACTCGATCCTCGAGGCAGGCACCTAACGCAACGGCACCGAGCAGGCTCGGCAACTTGGCACCTCGGCTTCAGCATACTCCTTGTTCCAAGTCCTGTTTTCCAAAACGACCAAAGGAAATGATCACTCCAAAGCCGTACCCGCCGTAAGGAACAGCATTGTTTGACGCATGAATCTCAGCCTAAGCTTTAGACGTCTCCTCCACCTGAAAACCTAGCAGCAACAGCACTGAACGCTAGAACTTCAGCCCCAAAGCCTGTGCTCGGCAGATTTCGCGAGGATGTTGCAAACTCGGAGATCAGCGTATTCGCCTCATTCAGGCTGGGGGGTTACACGCTTGGGGAATCTTTTGCAAGTTGGTGCTTGGGAGTTGCGAGCGTGGCCCAAACGAGGGGTAAAGATAGGGTACACAAAGGACACCCCTTGACATTCCTCAAGTCGGAATCCTGTTGTTGCAAGAGCTGGGACAGTCTGCACTGTGGCTCCCGTACATTGAGTGTTGAATCGCTGCCGGAATGTATCAAGTCCATATAAGATGGGAAATCGTAATCCCCAACAAATACTCCACGTAAAGTCAAGCAGGCTGTTAGCCCGAAGCTTGAAGCTCTCACTCAAGACCCCTGAGTAACTCACTTTCAACAAAACAAGCAACAAACAACAAAGGAAGCGTATGAGCTTTCCTGAAGTACTCGTAACTATGACTCTAACTTGTAAGAGGAAATCAATTTGGATGAAGTTACTTGAAGAGCCAGCGACAGGGGGATAAAACCCCATGCCCCTTACAAACGAAGAAGCTGATCTGCTTGGCATGTGGCGATGGCGTAACGCGGTGGAACAAATAGCTTTGCAGGATGCTTCTGCCTTGAATCTGGGCAAGAGATGGGTTTGGGGAACTGGGGTATGAAAGTAGTTGAGAACTCAATGTTTAGGATTTGTTGTCCCGGGTTATGGGCCAGGGCTGTGACACGTTCATGTCTATTGTTCTCATCCGCGCACTAATGCAGCAACGATTGAGCAACCTGCTGCGTTCGGCTTAGGCCCATAGTTGCTCGTAAGCGGTGGGGTTTTTGGGTTGATGGCTGACATAATAATGCTTGAAGTTTAACTCTTTGAAGCTTTTGGGCGTGAACATTTTGGCGTTGAGGGTTTCATGATTATAGGCAGCCCTTAAAATTGTTTGATTGTGCAAAATGAAATAGGTACCACTTGCGAGCAAGCCCTTCTGGATATCAAGTTGCTTCGGTTTTTCGTCCACTGCTGAATTAAAGGATGTGAGTTGGCGTGGTGGCTTTGAACTTTGGGGTGTTTGGCTATAAGGCTTTGGATAAGGATCTGGGGGTGGGGATTTGGATTCAGGCCAGGAGGTACAAGCTTACAGTTCGAAACAGGGATTCATGACGTGGGGCAAGGATTGGTTGGTTGGCTCATTAGGCTTCAGTTGTCGGTGATGGCCATCTAGTGCTAGAATCTATAGGAGCTCTGGCGAACTACTGGTTTCTGCCTGAGAAGGGTTGCATGTACCACCGTATACCCATATACCGACTTCATATCCGTACATGCAGCTACCCGCGAATGAAGGCCTGTGATTCGGTGTGTGTTTATATACTGCTAGCCTCGGAAACAAAGTGAATTTCAAAACTGGCTACAGCGGACTATGACCCTGCAAGGCCCTGTTCGGGTGCCCTGAAGCTTTGCTGGTGCGAGCTAGGCAACTGCAGCATCTGCTGGACTTCGCTTTTTGTGAACCACCTGCGCCAAGATTGCTTGTCATTGCCCCTTGCTACCGTGACCACAAGCACGACCAGGAGGACGACTACTTCTCCTGCCACTGCCGACGAAATGAGCACACCCATCCTCGTCATCATTGTCCTTCCTGCGTATATTGTATCTGCTACGACTACCCTGCTGCTGCTGCTGCTGCTGGTGACAATGCTCGTGCCTGGTGCTGGTGCCTGGTGTTGGTGCCTGCTGCTGCCTGGCTGGTGCTGGTGCAGCAGCAGCGCCGCCTCCGCCGCCGCCGCCGCC